GGCTTGCGGAGAGATGTGGAGTGCATTTGAGGGAGGTTCTTGCTGATGGAATGTGGAGGAGGATGCGGTTGTGGGTGGGGAGGCGGGAGCGGGGACGGGGTGGGGGCAGTTGGCAGCTATTCGAAGATGGTACTTGCCACGGAAGGTGGTGTAGTATTGAGGATGCTGCTATATGAAGGTGAGCAGTCCGGTCAATGCTATCTGTGGACTGAATGTTTTTTTGTCTGCTTTTGCGGATATGATCTCTGTATCGATACACCTAACTCATCCCACCTCCCATCCTTAGCTCTAAGTTTCCATCGACCATCGCTCGCACCACTAGCAGCATCGTGACAATCGACCCTACATCGCTCAATCTATCCTGCCTTTATCGACGATCCATACATTCCGTGCATAACCGACATTCTCCCTTATCCAGCACTGACAACTCCCTTTCCTCCAGTTCCATCACTGCTGATAGGATTTGCACACCAACCGATTCCACAGCCCCGAACTTTTTCTGCGCTCTGTGCCACTACACATATACATCACACGTCGGCCAGGTCAGTCATTTGCGAATCCAGCGCACAGAGACTTGCGAACCAGTGTCAGGACTGCAAACATGCACGCACCGTATGCGCCCATACTGTCCACGCGCATTAACCCACAACATGGGCCTATTCGGTCCCATGCGCCATCCTGAAGACCTGTGGTATATCACGGCGGACACGAACACACCACCGCTCTTTTCCCCATCAACATATGCACTGCGGAAAAACTCCTCCAACATCTTACGTCCCCTTCACCTCTCACATAAGTGGGAAGCGCGCTTTTCGGCTTCCTTCTCCGTGCAGCTCCCTCGCTGCATATGAGATCCGAACGGTGTTCGCTTGGGTGCGGGGGGCTATTTCGTGCGTGTGGCGTGCGCATACGGGCTCCCTAGCTCTGTCAACCACTGGGTCCAATCTCGGCATCAGTCGTTTGATCGCCTCGGACAGCGAACTGGTGCCCATGGGGCGGTAGGAGAGATAGAGAGATGTCGGTGAGTCATCACGTTTACCTCACTAAAAATTTCCGAACTTAAAGCTATCGCAGTACGCCAAAGGACGCGGCTTGGAAGGTTGCCGACTGACGAGATAGCTCGGACCCCGCAGTCAACTCAGTGTTCTGTATGCTTATGCGGAGTGGCCGATTGATGGACTGAGAATCAGGCTGCAAGGACTCCTTAATGCGGTCTCCATGGCACTCTCGCCTAGTGGGATTCGAGTCGCCCCCACCCCCTCGCTTATGACCCTAGCCAGTGCCTGTTGTGAACCAGGATTTGTGAGGTGTGGGTTTTCGCAGTGTTAGCCACCTGCGTTCGCTCCTGCCTTCGGTGATTTTGAATCTGTCTGGACGCCGGATGCAGGCGGGGGAGGAGGGGAGAGTGTGGTGGATGCTGTGCAAATCTACCGTCACTGCCCGCTCTCGGTTCACGGAGTTCGTCGCGCTGTGTGCGTGTGTGCTGTGTGGAGTGGCGGACTGGTGGGCTGGGAACGGGCTGAAGCAGCACCTTCCACGGCCCTCTCACGCAAGTGAGAGTCTAGCCGTCCAACCCCGCGTGTTCCATTGCCTCACGCCGACGCACTTGGTTCCTCAGCGTCGATGTTGGGAAAAACGTCCACGCAACACACCAGCGCATCCCTCACTATGTAACATTAACGTGATTGAATCCGTTACTGCGGTCTAAGATTTGCGGATAATAGGGATGTCGGCTGGCGAAATAACGCGGCAACCATGGCCATTA